CACTATACTGTAGTCTATTAAGTATGCAATAGCACTATGTCTAAAAATCCAATGCACATACCTTAATTTAAAAATACTTGAAGACCAGGTATTATGTGGTGGCTCATGCCTATAATCCCAGCACTTTGGCAGGCTATAGTGGGAGGATGGCTTGAGCGCAGGAGTTCAAGACCAGCTGGGCAACATAGTGAGACCCTGTCTCTGCAAAAAAGTTTTAAAAATTAGTTGGATATGTTAGCACGTGCCTGTAGTCCCAGATATTCAGAAGGCTGAGGCAGGAGGATTGCTTGAGCCCAGGAGGTTGAGTTTGCAGTGAGCTATGATAACACCACTACACTCTAGCCCAGGCAACAGAGAAAGACCTTGTCTCAAAAAAAAAAGAAAAAAAATACTTTATTGCTAAATAATGTTAACAATCATCTAAGCCTCCAGGGAGTTGTAATCCTTTTGCTGTTAGAGGCTCTTGCCATGATGTTGATGGCTGCTGCCTGATCAGGATAGTGGTTGCTGAAAGTTGGAGTGGCTATGGAAATTTCTTAAAATAAGAAAACAATGAAGTCTGATACATCAATTGATTCTTCCTTACCCTAAAGATTTCTCTGTAGCATGTGATGCTGTTTTTACAAAATGGTAGCATTTGACTCACAGTAGAACTTCTTTCAAAATTGGAATCAATCCTCTCAAACTGTACTGCTGCTTTATGAACTGAGTTCATGGAATATTCTAAATCCTTTTGTTGTCATTTCAACAATGCTCACAGCATTTTCACCAGGAGTAGATTCCATCTCAAGAAACTACTTTCTTTGCTCATTCATAAGAAGCAACTCCTTATCTGTTCAAGTTTTATCATGAGATTGCAGCAATTCAGTAACATCTTCAGGCTCCAATTCTAATTCTAGTACTCTTCCTATTTCCACCACACTTCAGTTACTTCCTTCCTCCACTGAAGTCTTGAACCCCTCAAAATCATCCCTGAGGGTTGGAATTAAGTTCCTCTAAATTCCTGTTAAGGTTGATATTTCGACCTCCTCCCATGAATCACAATTATCCTTAATGGCATCTAAAATGGTGACTCCTATCCAGAAGGTTTTCAATTTACTTTTCTCAGATCCACCAGAGGAATCACTTTCTATGGCAGCTATAGTCTTACAAAATGAATTTCTTGAATAATGAGACTTGAAATTACTCCTCAATCTATGGGCTGCAGAATGGATGTTATGTTAGCAGGCATGAAAATAACATTAATCTCCTGTATATCATCATCAGATCTCTTGGGTTACCAGGTACATTGTCAATGAAAAGTAATATTTTGAAATAAATCTTTTTTTCTGAGCAGTAGGTCTCAACAGTAGGTTTAAAGTATTCTATAAACCATGCTATAAACAGATGTGCTGTCATCCAGGCTTTATTATTCCATTTTATAGAGCACATGCAGAATAGATTTAGCATCATTCTTAAGGGCCCTAGGATTTTCAGAATTAGCTTTGGCTTCAATTTAAAGTCACTGGCTTCATTAGCCCCTAACAAGAAAGTCCGTTTGTCCTTTGAAGCTTTGAAGCTAGGCATTGACTTCTCATTGCAACAAGAAGTCCTAGATAGCATCTTCTTCCGATAGAAGGCTATTTATTTTGTCTACACTGAAAATTTAGTTATTTAGTGTAGCCACTTTCATCAATGATCTTAGCTAGATATTGTGGATAATTTGCTGCAGCTTCTACATCAGCATTTGCTGTTTCACCTTGCACCTTTATGTTATGGAGATGGCTTCTTTCCCTAAACTTCATGAACCAACCTCTTTTAGCTTCAGACTTCTCTTCTGCAGCTTCCTCACCTCTCTTGGCCCTCATAGAGTTGAAGAGAGTTGGGGTCTTCCTCTGGATTAAGCTTTGACTTAAAGGAATGTTGTGACTGGTTTGATCTTCTACCCAGACAACTAAAAGCAATGTTTCTCTTTCTTGTCATTCATGTGTTCACTGGAGTAGCATTGTTTATTTCCTTCAAGAACTTTTCCTTTGCATTCACAACTTGGCTAACTGGTGCAAGAGGCCTAGCTTTCCACCCATCTTGGCTTTCAACCTGCCTTCCTCACCAAGCTTCATTATTACTAGTTTTTGATTTAAAGTAAGAGAAATATGACTCTTACTTGAACACCGAGAAACCATTGTAGGGTTATTAATTGAACTAATTTCATTTATCTCAGGGAATAGGGAGGCCCAAGGAGTGGGAGAGAGAAGTGGGAACAGACATTTGGTGCCACAGTCAAAATACATGCAACATTTATCGATTGAGTTCACCATGTTATATGGGCGTGGGTCATATCTTCCCCAAAACAATTACAATAGTAACAACAAAGATCACTGATCACAGATTATCACAATATGATAATGAAAAAGTTTTGAAATGTTGCAAAAATTACCAAAATGTGATACAGCAACATGTAGTGAGCACATGCTGTTGGAAAACCATGCTAATAGACTTGCCACAACCCTTCCATTTATAAAAAACACAATATAACGAGGTATGCCTGTATGATGAAAACAAAGTCCTTCTTGGCCTGAGGCTCCCTTTCCCTTTGTTAATGAAGGAGATTAACAGCGATTAAAGAGACACTAACGACCATGACCAAAATGAAACTGTCTCCTTGGTGCAACTAGAATTAAAAGGCAGTTGAAAAGGGGATGATTTTCTCACTTCTGACTCAATATTATTTAAAGTAGCATCCACATTGCCTCCTAAAATGTTCTCAAATGCCAACAATGATGCCCGTTCCCCACTTTGGAAAAGTTGCCCCATGTCATAATAAATGCCTGATTTTTAAATCCACTGAGAAGAGAGGGCTGAAACTGGAACATGAGAGAGATCTGGTTTGGATGGAGGAAAATGACCTCAAGTTTTTCAAGGTTATATTGCTTCTCTAGAGATAGAAAAGAATTTTTAAAATAATTTTAATCCAATAAGTGAAGGTTGAAAATAGAGACTAGGGCATCTCCTTTCCTCAAGGGCATTAAGAACATATCAAAGATGTGCAGTTGGGATGCACTCTTCAGAGAGATAGGACCTCGGGGATTATTTAATGCAGAATCTCTTTCTCAGCATTCTGTAAATTCATAAACTGTAGTCCCCCCCTTATGTACAGAGGCTACGTCTCAAGCCCCCCAGCAGATGCTGAGACCACAGATATTACCGAGCAGTATATATACTAGGTTTTTTTCCTAAGAAAACATACCAGTGGTAAAGTTTATTTTATAAATTAGACACAGTAAGATATTAACAACAATAATAAAATAGAACAATTATAACAATATGCCAGTATGGTCACTCTTGTGCTTTGGGTATTATTAAGTCAAATAGGGGTTACTTGAACATAAGCACTGTGATACCACGACATTTGATCTGTTAGCCAGGACTGCTACTCAAGTGACTAGCAGGTGGGTATTGTAGTAGACAGGATGAAGATGTGAGATTTCATCGTGCTACTCAGGATGGCATGCAATTTAAAACTTATGAGTTGTTTATCTCTGGAATTTTCCATTTGATATTTTCAGATTGCTGTTGACCCTAGATAACTAAAACCCAGAAAGCCAAACCATAGATAAAGGGGACACACTCAGATGCCTGGGCACGTGTGTGCATGGGGATATACAAGCACGTGCATACACACACACACACACACACACACACACACACACACACACACACACACACTATCTGACGCCGTGTTTCCCAAAAGTGGCCAGCCATGGGGCCTCAGCTGAGTAGCTCCTTCTGTTGACGCCATCAGCCCTGTCGCTGAACTGCATGGCTTATTCTCAGGCTGCCTGTCTTATTTTTGTCACCCATAAAACCTCAACTATTTCCCTGGACAGTTCTGCCTAGCAGGACATCCAGTTTGAAATGGAGAAGGCAGGGCAGGAGCAGAGTATGCTCTATTACCCTGGAAATTTCACTCTAGAGCTGTGTGGTCCCACAGGACTTTCTGCACTGATGGAAATGCTCAAAAATCCTCACCATCCCATACAGTAGCCAGGAGCCTCGTGTAACTGTTGGGCACCTGAAATGTGGCTAGTGTGGCCAGTGAGTAGGTAAATTATTTTATTTAATTTGAATTACATTTAAATAGCCACAGGTGATTGGTGGCTGCTTATTGACCAGCACAGCACAAGAGTATTTGGTAATAAAGAGACTTCTTGAAGGACATCTGGGTCAGTGCCTGTTCCAGATATGAGTAAACAAGCATGCCCCCACTCCACACTGCCCCCCTCTCTGAACCATCATCACCCATCCCCTGCCCTTCAAAAGGAAAAGAATCTGGAGGGATGAGCCAGTCCTCCTTTCTGAATATCCCCTTTTTCACCTCCTTCCCCCAACCCCATCCTAAGACTTCCCAGGAGGGGCCTACAGCTTCCTTTGCAGGAGGACAGAATTGAGATGATTTGGAACTTGCTGCCAAGAAGAACCAAGCAAACGTGACCCTGGAGCATGTAGAAATGGAAAAGCAGAATATGAAAAGTGACATCTCACTCTATTTGCTGCTATGGCAAAAAATACATATACAATTAGGGAGTTGGTGTCTATTTTCTTAGATAAAGGAATTATAGTAAATTTTCTTAGAGGTGGATGAGGTATTGTGGTTATGGAAAAAAATTCCTTATTTTTTGACGATGCATGCTGGAAGATTTAGGAGTGAAGTGCCATGATACAATATTAGCATGTGTCTGTGCATACAAGCATATGTGTGGGCATATGAGCATCCAAACACCAAGACAGATAGACTCATATATACATATATAGATACATGCATGATAGATGCATTGATACATAGATAAATACATCGATTAGATACGTGCACCCACAGATAAGATGATAGACAGATATATACAGATGACAGGGCAAACTGTTTATGATTGTCAAACACGGGTGGACATAGTGATGCTCATGGGGACAACATGATGGACACAAGAACCACTGCTAATAAAAAATGTTTTTATTACTGCTGAGTGAAGGCCTCTTAAGGTCAGTGTGAGAAGCAGGTGGGTGTTGCTCCTCCAGGCCCTCCGGTCAGGTGGTTCACGGAGTAGGGGGCAGCAAGGCAGGGCCAGGCAAGGTCCACGAATGATGGGGAGACCACAGGAAGGAGGAAGGAGCCACAGTCTGCATGGGCAGGACAGTATTAGATGCCCCCTAGCCCATCTCCCTCCCACTCAGGGCCTTTTGCCTCCTCCCAGGCCTTACAGAAGCCCGGAGCCAGGTGGGGGCAGGGCCTGAGGGGCACCAAGACTGAGGAGGAAGGACAAGGACAGCAAAGTAGTACTGAGTCCCAGGAACTCGGCTGCGGGGGCAAGTAGCCTGCAGGGACAAGGAGAAAGGAGCTAGGGCTTATCATTCCTGTCCCACCCCTCAAAGTGGCTTTAGGGAAGGGACTGAGACTTCAGTTTCCTACCCTAGATATACACACTCAAATCTCTACCCCCCTTTACCTGCTATGGCTATCAGTGGTGCTACAGACTCAGGGGGTGCTAGTTTCCCCCAACTTTGTGGGCCATGGAAGGAATGAGGAAAGCTGTACGAAGCTTCATTTGATGATCCCATCTGGAGATATGTGTCTGTGGGGGCCAAGGAGTCCATGGGCCCTCCCCACACACTTCAAGATTGAGGCCTGGCCTGAATTCTTACCCCAGCAGGGCTTGAGTGGGGCTTGGGGTTGAGCGTCACTCAGAAACCTGTCTGGTACTGTTGCCCAGCACAGCTGACAGCAGGGGGCAGCCAGAGGTTCCAGGGCAGGCAGGGCCGCTGTGGGCGCACTGCCAGGGGACTGCTAGAAAAAGTGAGAGGAGATCCTTATCTGCTAGTGGCACCTTCTCTTCTGAAGGCCTGGGACCCCAAGGCTGCCTGCCACCCAGGCTGTATCCTGCACGACTCCAGAGGGCACCATTCACATAGTAGACTATGGGGATGGCACATTCTAGAAGTGTGCACTATGGGGCCCTGGGGATTCATGGATCTTAGCTCAGGCCTTCCCCAGAAATAGGAGATGCAGGGAGCCCTCCCGTCTTCCCAGCGCACAAATTCCCTCTTCTCCAGAGTACCTGTGCAGAGACGATCCCTGGGGAGACCTTCTGTACAGTCAGACCCTGGGGAGCACCTGTAAGGCGAGGGTAGATCCGCTTAGAGGGAAGATTTGGGGTGGGGCTGGGGAGTGCAGTGAGAGGCAGGCAGGTTCCGGGAAGGGCAGCAATTTCTGGCAGGGTTGGGAGGAGATGGATGTTACAACCCTAAACTGTGCAGCCCTTAAGAACAGGGACTGTGTGTGCTCAGCATCTGGCACAGGACCTGGCACATGGGAGGTGCTGCATAAATGTTGGATGGATGAATGTGCAGAGAAATCACCTGGCAGCTGCATTTCCCACTTGAGCTTCTCTTGCCGGCGCCATTTGGCTCGTCTGTTGGAAAACCAGACCTGAGGGAGGACAAGGATGCTATAGCTGGCTGTACTTTCTGCCGTCCGGCACCTGCTGCTCTCATCATGTGTTCCTCAGTGCTCACATCCTCCCTCCCTGCTCTAACCCTTGCTCTCTGGCACCTTCCTCAACTCAGAGGCTTGGGGTGGGGAAGAAAGGAGAGCAAGCAGCAGAAGGGAAACGAGGAGGGTCTCATCTCCAGTTTTTGCACCAAACAAATTTGTTTCTGCCTCCTTGCCCCCCACTACACCTCATCAGAACCCAAATCCCTGGTGGCACAGACTCCTCCTCCTTGTGGTTTGTGCACACTGTGTGGCAGAGCTCACTCACCCTCACCGTGTCCTCAGGCAGAGAGGTGGCAGCAGCCAGCTTTCCACGGGCCACTGAATCAGGATACTGCCCACGCTGGAACTCTGCAGAGATCAGGTTCATGCAGTAAGGGCACAGGGAGGGGAGCAAGGCAGGGGTCTTCCCTGATCTCACTCCCCACCTGCCACACCCTAAACTGCCTTCCTCCCCATGCAGGGCCACCCACAGCCTACACCTCTCCACCTTTGCCCCCCGGGCCTCAGGCCCCTGCCTCCATGTCACACCAAGCACCCTCTGATCTGCCATCTGCCCCAGCCCAGCACCTTTCTCCAGTGCCTCTGCTTGGCCTGGGGAGAAGATAGTCCGATTCCTGTGGCCGGTCCCAGGGTGGGGACCCCGAGGAGCCTCAAAGCCACTTTGGCGAGTGGGAGGAGCCGGAGCCAAGACAGCTGCAAAGGAGGACAATAGCTTATGGCAGTTTGTGACAGTGATATCTCTGGTCAGATGGGGTCTGTGCCTGTGCCCAGGGGACAGCATGGGTGCAAGGGCAGAGCTGAGCTGGTGGGGCATTCACAGGTAACTTGGAGATCGCTGCAAGGGCACCTGGTGGGAAGTGCATTTAATATCTTGGTGGGGTCACGCTTATTGTTTGGGGGAAAACAGCAGCAGGGTTGGTCCAGGTTTGTGTGATCCCAGAGAACACGAAGGATGCTCTAAGAAGCTGTGCACGAGGCCAAGGGAGGATTTGAAACATTAGTCCTGCCTCTTACTCAGCAGAAGCAAGGGGCTAGGGGACCTGTGCTCAGTTCCAGGCCCTGCCATCAACTAGCTGGTGACCTTGAGTAAATTACTTCACTTCTCTGAGCCTCAGTTTTCTTCTGCTAGGTGGGAATGAGACTCCCCGTTTGGCCCTCCTTACTGGGTTGTTATGAAGGTGATCCAAGAAAGAATGAGAAGGGCTTTGAAAGTTGTAGAATGCTGAGGATTTGGCTCTGATTGTCCTTGGGGACAACTCCAAGACCCACCTGGTGATCTGAGCTGTGCCCAGGACAGTCCCTGGTCCTCTTGTAGTGCCCGCAGGACCCGGTTGATGGAGGAGACCTAGGATGTCAGGGTGTGAGTGGGGCCGTGGTGCACAGTCTCAGGGTTGCATCCTCAAGATATCCCTTCCAATATCTTTTCTCCCCTCTGTCTCCACCCGTATATCATTCCCAAGGGCAGCCTCTTCTCTCTCACCATGCTTGCACCTTCTCTCCACCTTCACTTTTTAGAAGAGAACCTTATGGGCCTTCAGAAGGGCTCAGGAACTCCCCCCTCAGCCTGGCATGCCCACACTGCCAAGTAAGAAGGGCTCCCATTCTCCCCAGGCAGCCTGTTGACCAGCCCCAGCGCAGGCAGGGGAGGGTACTTACACTGGGAGTCTTGTCCTGGGTGCAAAGCCCTTCAGCACAAAGCTGGCGTTGGATCTCCCAAGCAAAGAGGGCTGGGCACTCACCCTTCAGCTGGGCAATTCGAGCCACCACAGGGGGTGTGGCCAGCCGAGGCTTGCTTCCCCCAATACCCTTGGGCTCCAAGACACCAGTGCGGTAGTAACGCCCTAGGATCTTGCTCACACAGCCATTAGATACCTGAGTCAGGTGAGAAGCAGGGACAGGTAAGGCAGGTGGGCAGAAGGAAAGGGAGTATCCCTGGGACAGAAGAAGGCTACAAGGCAAAGTGAGACTTACTGGAGCAGGCTGTGAGGTGGAGAATGTAACCTCACTTTTTAGAGCCTGGAGCTCCCCATCCAGGCCTCAAGAGGGTCTTCTAGACAGTAGCCCAAGCCCCAAAGACCCTCAGAGTCTGCAACATCCCAGACTCTTGCCTTCAGACATGCCTTTTCTCCTTGCTTCTTAAGGCCCTGGCACACTACCTTAAGGCTCCGTGAGATGTCACAGGGCCGCATTCCTCTGACTGCTAGCTGGACGATCTGCTGCCGGGTGTCCAAAGGCAGGGGCCGACCATTCACAAAGAGCCCGCCCAGCTGATTCACGCTGCTGATCCCTGGGCATGAGAAAGAGACATCCACACCCCACTTCTCCCCACTGCCCTGCCCACATGTGGAGAGGGTCACTCAGGCCCCTCCAGCCTGCCTTCCCACCACGGCGAAAGTCCTGCCCTAGGAGGATGCCTGCCTTTTGCTCCCAGGCTCTGAAAGCCTGCCACTTTCTTTGGCAGCTGGCTCTTGGGCAACTCTCCTGATCTTGGGGAAGCGGGGTGGAGCAGAGGGAGTGTCTGGAAAAAGCTTCCCCCAGAATGTTGACCAATGGCAGATGAAACTGGATTGATGGAAGCCAAGCCTTGAGATCCCCCATCTCCAGGCTCCTTACCGTCCTGCTGCATGCTCCACGCTGGCCCTCCACAAAGGGACAGGAAACTAACTGGGAAGACTGGGAAAGGGAGTTCCTTCTAGGAGCTTCTTTTCTGGTTTGGTGGCTGGGTCTGCAACAATAGGGAGTTATGTGGATGAAATCTCTTGCTTGGAATGGTCTTGATATGTAGTGTTTTATGATAGAGTCAAGTTTCCAAAATTTGCCAAGAGGTTGGCTAACATTAGCAAATCAGGATTCCTTTTACTTAAACTCTTAAGTGATGAACTAAAACATCAAAGGTGGCTGAGGACTGGATCTTTCTGGATGTCCTGACAAGGGGCTAGGAGATTTGGGAGGGTTCTCATTTCCCACACATCCATTACAAAAGGTCAAGGAGGTAGAAAGGGATGATGCTTCCAAATGCTCAAGCTTTCCCTTTTCCAAGCGGGTGACTGTCGTCTCTGACCACTCATGAGCCTTCTCAGTCGTGGCTGACACACTGGAGCCAGAGATCCCAGAGTCCCCAAGTTCAGGGCTCTACCTTCACTATCAGGCAGTCCTGGGTTAGGTTCTCCAAACCACCAGCTGGATGGTTCAGAGCACTTCAGAAGAAGGGCTTTCGCCTGTTTTTTATACTCTCCAGGAAGCCCTGGGGAAATGCAGGGCTCAGCTCTATCCCCAAGGCATTGGGGGTCTGATCCCACAATTGGAGGTAGAGATGAACAAGCCTGAGGCATTGGCTTCTCCTAGAAGACACAGCTCATGGCATCTCTACCTGCTGGGCTCTGAGGAGTTCTAGATCTCACAGTGAAGCTTCAGTTTCAGAGACCACCTTTCTCAGATCCACACCTATTCATTCAACTAGCATTTATTGAAAGCGTACTGAAGGGAGGGGATGGGAAGTAGGAGAGGGATGTTTGTGACTGGTGCAGAAACCATCATGAGCACAAGAGAGTCTCTGGGTAGCAAGGGACACAGGTCATAGGACCCCATGTCTTTCCTGCTTTCATCAGAAGTTCATGGGAATCAAAGCTACCTCCCTTCATGTCTGGAACCCTGGCAGGTCTGGAGATCACCCCAGGGAACAGCTTATGCATAGAACTTTCTTATAATAACCATGCCATCTTGGCTCAGTTAATTCACCTACAACTATTTGCTGAATAAAGTTTTAAGCATCAGCTCACTGCTGGTTGTTCAGGATGAAGGAAGTAAAAAGAAAAGGAACAAGGTCTTTGCTCTCCAAGAGAGGACAATACAACCCAGGAGAGGAGACTAGCACAGGCAGAACAACACTGAATTCCAAAGAGTATGGAAATCAGAGCCTATTTTTTCAGTTCAGGAGCTAAATTGGCTTTTACTCACTCCTTTCTAGGCAGGTAGAGATACAATCCCCTTTAAACTCTCATCTTTCCAGAAAGTAGGGAAGGAAGGCAAAGGTTTTTCCAAAGAGAAAACCAAGGCACAGATTGGGGTTCCCACAAGTTGGGGGCTATCCAGAGAGTAAAATTCAAGGTTTGGAAGCCAGTTCCTCACCAGAAGCCAAAATTTCTGGCTTCTAATCCTCGGCTCTCTCTGTTCTCTGCACCCACCCCTGCTCCATGTTTGTGTAATTTTCACCAAAACAATGGGGAGAGGAGAGTCAAGCTGGGAATGTAAAGGGCTGTGCCAGAACAAGGAGAAGGAGCTGAGAATATCAGCCAAACCCTGAACCCCTGATAGGATTAGTCCTCCCAAGTGACCAGAACTCAAAGGAGCAGTGGGGATGCAGGTTCAATATCAAAACCTAAATAATCTCCAAACCTAAAATCATCATGCCTCAACTCACAAGAAGAAACCCCATTTCCAACAGCCACCCCACACATCCCCAACACTCACATTAACTTGTCTGAAAAAGTAACCAGTGCAGGCAAAATGGGAAAGCAGGATAAGAATGGAAGGGGAAGGAGGGTGGGAGATGCAAAGACAGAGGGGAGTTGGGCTTGGCCACACAAAGACATGGAGACAGCATGGGAGACAGAGCAGACAATGAGCCTGCAGGTGAGCTACCTGTGTGGAGGAAATGAAGTGGGAGCGTCAGTGGGAGGTCTCAGTCTTCTATGCTGGGCTCCTGAGACCCCTGCAGGCTCCAGGGTGGGTGGTGTTCTGGTCCTGGTGACAGCCTCCACTCTGCTCCTGCTTCAGTCCTGCCAGGGGGTCCAGAGCTACAGAGAGCCCGTGCTCTGGAACAGAGGGCAGCCTTCTGGGAGCAGCCAGTGATGTCACAGGCCATGAGCAGAGGAGAGAGGAGGAGGGAGGTGTGCATGGGCTGACTGACACCGGCGCTGAGGCAGGGCAAACCACAGCCAATGACCCATTGTGTCCTTCCATGGGGATTCTTAGAGCCCACTTAGTATCCACCTACCACCCTGATGCAGGAACTGAGCCATTCTCATGCAGGCTCCCTGGAGCCAGAGAGCACCCACATAGGGACCAGTACTCCTGAAAGGCATAGGGATGTGGAAGATGGGGAACTTCAGACTGTGTCCGTACTGCTTTGAATGCACAGAAGCACAAGGAGCCTTCCAGCACCACCACCAGCATAGCTTCCTAACCAGAACACACATGGCTGGGCTTTGGTGTCAAATTCTGTGTCATGTGTGTATTACTCTAAAAGATAGATGGGTATACAGACCGTTACCTAAATACTGACTGAGCTGGTACCTAAAACTCCAAGAGAATGAGGGTAAATGGAGAAGAACGTATGTCACATGGCATTGGCTCTCCCTGGGGAATATCCTCACCAATTCTCCAATGGACTCCTTGACTGAGGTGACACCGAGGCTGAGTTCTTGCCTGGAAACAGGGGGATCCTGGACTTCAGAACACTAAACTGGTAGTGGTGGTGGGAATGAGCCTCCAAGGGTAGTTAGACATGTATGTGGGGTGTTTATGAGGAGGCATGCAGTCTGTTTTTCCTTCTGCCATCTCTATATGTTATCAGGCTCTGTTCACTAGGGATTTGGTGCTTTTAGACTCTCCAAGTTATTAATGGCACTGCTGTTCCCACAAAAGATGCCACAGGTTATCTGGGCCATTGGTGGGATGAGGGGTCCCCGTTGCTGGGTAGGTGGATCCTGCAGAGTGGGATGCTGAAAGTGAAACACGACCTCCAGTGCATGGAAGCTTTGTTGTCAGTATGGTCTTGGGCAGATCCCTGGTAGGGGTGTGTGTGAAGAAGCCAACATGGAAAGCCTTTTGGGTCCATTCCATATCTCGGATTCTGTGACACTTGCAGAAATCAGGCAGAAAGTAAGCAGGGTGCAGGACAGTAAGACTAGATCCAGAAGTAAGAAGAGAAGACTGGATTCCACTGGTAAATGCTTTGGGTTTTGGGGGGATGGGAGTGAGTGTTATACATTCAACTTGATCCTAGAATTAGGAACTCTTGTTCTCAAAAGCCAAATGTCTCACAAAAGTGGGTTTCCTACTTTACTCAGACACATACTTCCTTCCTTTTCCAACCTACTCCAGCTTCCTCAGGCTGGGCCAGCGCACCGGGGCACAGGGGCACAGGGGAGACTGCAGCAAGTGGTTTCAGCACCAGCAGGCAGGACAGCACATGTTCCCAGGGGGTAGAGCTTATTCCATCCCAGGGCAGCTGGGGACTGCTGGTCACTCTGCTTAGCCATGCCCCGGTGAGAGCAGGTCCCCAGCAAGGCCTGTGGTGGCCCTGCTCTTAGTCCCCCTTTCCTGCCTCATGCCTCCCCCCTGGATCTGCCCTTGCATCTGGGGGCTCATGGCTCATGCCCTGACCAGCTATTCCCATAGACAGCTGCATGAGGGCGGAGATAGGGGTGTCAGGGGGGAGAAAGGACAAGCCCTGGCAGATGGTGGTGGCAGTGATTTCCCCCATAAACTACCCTCTCCCTCCGCCTTTATGACTACGTGCTCTCAGGTCTGAACAAACAGAGGCTCTAGACCCACAAGTGATGAGGGGAGGGAAAATGGGGAAAGGGCCCTGGCAGGGGGGCCTAGCCAGCCCAAAGGCTCAGCCACTCAGCCCTCTGCCCAGCGCGCCAGACTGTTTGAGGAGCAAATATCTACCTTCACTGTCTGACTCTCTCAACCACCCCCACCGAGTCTAGGGCTAATTGTCCCTCATTAGCTGGGCCCAGGCCCCAGGCTGCCGCCAGCCCCCGCCATCTGCTCACAATTATACATTAACTCATAGGTCTTGCCACCCGCCAGCCAGGCTGTGCGCCCCTCTCCAGGGCCAGCCGTGGCCATTCCAACCTGCCTTTGCCCTGATGTAGAGCCCTGAGCGCTGGCTTCTTCAGCCCTTGGAAGCCCCTAGTATAAAGCTCTGTGGCTGTGGAAAAAGTCCTGTCCTCAGCAGAGGCGGTTAGAGTTTCCTTGCCCTCCTCACGGGGCCAGAAGGCGACCCAAAGCCCGTGCGTAAAGCTGGAGAGGAGAGGGCGCGGCCAGCGCAGGGACTCGCCGGCTTTGTCTGACACCTCGCCGCAGGCTCTAGGCACCCACGGGGTGAGGTGACACCAGTTCTAGGCTGCCTCCACCCCTTCCTATGGCGCCTTTTAGTAGGCTGTGGGGTCCTAGCCCCCTTTCCTCTCTCCAGAGAGCCCCATCTCAAGCCAACCCTCAGCTATCCAGAGCGCACGCGCCACCTGTCCGAGAAACCACTCTCAGGCAGCCGGCGCCTCCCACCTTAAAGTCAAAGTGGCTTCCTTGCTACAAAAACATGGATATTCCACGGATATTCCTGAGCTTGGGACCTTCACGCTGAAGTTACACACACCTCCACCCCAAATTATACAGTTACCTTACTCTCTCCGCCCAAACTCTGCTCTAAAACCAAAACTCTCTCCCGCTGCAAATCCCTGCGGCTTTCAGCTCAGTTTCTGGAAAGCGGGCAACCGGCTCCCTCCCTCTGAACACCCCAGAGGGAGTGAAGAGCACACCCTCCCAACCGTGGCTTTGAACTGGGGCACAAAACCCCCTCCTTTTCCCCTCTTTTCGCACCGTGAGCCCCTAACCTCTGTACTCAACCCTGCCTCCTGTTCCTCTCAAGACTACCGAATTGAGAGTCGAGTGGGGTGGTGAGTTGCACACCCCTAAACTAAATCCCGCAGAGCTGGGGGATTCAGGGGCCGGAGCCAAGAACCTAAGGAGGCCGGGAGAGGAAGCCCATGGGGTGTGAAGGGCAGCTTGTGAAGAAAGAGCCCAGCCCAGAGTCACCGGGACAGGCAGGCACTATGTGCCTCGACCACAGCCGACCAGGGCGGTCCAAAGGCACTCTGCCAGGCACCTTTGGAGAGTGCCGTTTTGGGTCCGTGTGAGCACCCACCCTGACCGTGTGGGGAAGGTTCGGGAACTGGACATTGGAAACCCGAAGTTCTTTCTGTTGCCTGGAAACAGCCAGCTCTGCTCTCCGGAAGCTTTCCTCACCCCACCCGGCCCTACTTTGCACTGGCTGGTCTGGGGAGGCAGATAGCCCCAGTCGTTTGTTTGATTGTTTTTAAGTAAACTTTATTTTAATGAGCTTTATTTTTTAGGATAATGTTAGATTTACAGAGAAATTTCAAAGACAGTACAGATAGTTCCCACAGCACCCCGCACTGTTTTCCCTACTACTAACATTTCACATTAGTATAGTATATTTGTTATAATTAATAAACTCATATTAATATGTTAGTATTAAGTAAAGTCCATACTTTATTCAGATTTTCTCTGTTTTTCCCTAATGTCATTTTTCTGTTCCAGAATCCCTTCCAGGAGCCCACTTTCCATGAATCATCGTCTTGGGCTCCTCTTGGCTGTGACAATGTCTTGGACTTTTCTTGTTTTTCATGACTTGGACAGTTTTGAGGAGTCAGGTATTTTGTAGAATATCCCTTGATTGGGATCTGTCTAATGCTTTTCTCATAATTAGACTGGACTTACGGATTTAGGGGAAGAAAACCGAAGAGGTAGAATATCATTTTTACCGCATCATATCAAGGGTACGTACTGTGAACATGATTTATCACTATTGATATTGACCTTGATCACTTGGCTGAGATAGTGTTTGTTAGGTCTGTCCACTAAAGTTACTCTCCCCCACTCCCTTTCCAAACAGTACTTTTGCTAAGGAAGTCATTAGGCACAACTCACACTTAAGAAGTATGGAGTTATGCTCCATTTACTTGAGAGTGGAATATCTACATAAACCATTTGGATGTCTTCTGCTGGGGAGATTTGTCTCTTCTCTCTCATTTATTCATTCATTCATTCATTTGTTGATTCAATAATTTATTTATATCAGTATGGACTTATTTTTTTATAAGGAAACTTACTTGGGGGGGTTATAATCCAATATACTACTTTATTTTATTGCTCAAATTGTTCTAACTTTGAAACTCAGATGACTCCTCTGACCTTTGGCATGTCTCCAGTACTGTGGGCTTTGGTTTGTTCGTTTGTTGGGTTGCTGTTGTTGTTGTGGTTTTTTTCCAGCATTTCCTTACTTTCTGATACTACCAGATGCTCAAAGTTCACCTTGTATATTTCCTGTCCCAGTCCTAGTATCAGCCATTTCTCTAAGGAGCCCTGGCTCCTTTTATTGAAAAGTGGTATAAGAAACCCACATCTGGGTTCCAGTTGTGCTGGTTGCTACTGGGATGTCAGTGCTTCTCAGTTCTCTCAGCTGACAGAGCAAAGAAATATATGTGTGTATACTAGCCTGTGTATATACACATATCTATAAATATTTCCATCTGTAACCATTTGTATCTATATTAAACTAAACAAAAATTCATACTGATGTCTCCAGCTCTAATCCATTATTACATGGATCATTCTAGTTTCCTCTCTGCTTATCTATAAACTCCGTACTCCAACAGTAGGAAACCTGGCTCCCATAATCCACCATCTATCTACTTGATTGTTCAGTTCCGGTAGGTATACATTTTTGTAGCATGAGAATTGTTAACACAAACCATCATAGGAAACAACTTTATCAACTAGATTATAATGCTTATGTACAATTTCTTTTATCTTTAGTCTTACAGACTCCACTCATTCCCAAAGTTACTTAAATCAGCACCTTTACCCCACCCCCTTCAGTGACGTGGTTTTATACATTTGTAATACAGTTTGATTATTTTGTCACATTCTGTTATTCTATTTCCCCTGACCTCCTACATGATTTTTAAAAATTTTATATACATTAAGGTTCACTCTTTATGTTGTAAAATTCTATAGGTTTTGACAAATATATAGTGTTATGTATCTACAATTACAGTATCATATAGAATAGTTTCACCACCCTAAGAAATCCTGGTGCTTCACCTATTCAACCCTTCCTCTTTCCCCTCAATCTCCTGGTAACCATTGACTTATCTACCATTGCTGTGGTTTTGCCTTCTCCAGAGTGTCATATAATGGAATTAGAGTATACAGCCTTTTCAGACTGGTTTCTTTCCCTTTAAGATTCATCCATGTCTATTCATAGCTCGATAGTTCATTTCTTTTTATTGCTGAATAATATGTTATTGCACAAATGTACCACAGTTTATCCATTCACATATTGAAGGACATTGAAGGACATCTTGGGTGCTTTCAAGTTTGGGCAATTGTAAATAAGGCCACTATAAACATTTATGTGCAGCTTTTTATTTAGACATAAATGTTTAGCTAATTCGGGTAAATACCAAGGAGCATAAATACTGGATTGTATGCTGACAGTATATCAACTTTGTAAGAAACTGTCTAACTGTCTGCCAAAGTTACTGTACCATTTTGCATTCCTAGCAACAATGGTTGTCTTGCATACTTGCCTCATTTTTTTTGTATGTCAGCTGTTCTCTTAGGTGTGTAGTGGAATCTGGTGGTTGTTTTAATTTGTAATTCCCTAGTAAAAAATAATATTGAGTATCTTTTCATATGCTTATTTACCATCTGTATGTATTCTCTGGTGAGGTGTCCGATCAGAACTTTTGCCCATTTAAAAAAATTGGATTGTTCATTTTTTTATTGTGGGTTTTTTAAAAAATTTTCATTATTTATATATATATTTTTAAAGAGATAGAGTCTCACTATGTTGCCCAGCCTGGTCTCAAACTCCTGGGCTCAAGTAATCCTCCCACCTCAGCCTCCCAAGTATCTGGGACTACAGGCATGTGCCACCATGCCTTGCTTATTGTTGAGTTTTAAGAGTTCTTTGTGTATTTTGGATACAAGTCCTTTATCAGATATATGTTTTGCAAATATTTTCTCTAAGTCTGTGGTTTGACTTTTGCAGAGAAGAAAATTTAATTTTAATAAAGTCCAATTTATCAACTTTTTATTGATTATGTTTTTGGTTTATATCTAAAAACTTGTCACCAAATCCAAGGTCCTCTAGATTTTCTTCTATGCTCTCTTCTAGAAGTATTATAGTTTTATATTTACATTTAGGGCTGGGCACAGTGGCTCACACCTATAATCCTAATATTCTGGGAGGCTGAGGCAGGAGGTTCACTTGAGATCAGGAGTTGGAGACCAGCCTCAGCAAGAGCAAGACCCCTACCTCTACTAAAAATAGAAAAAAATTAGCCAGGCGTGGTGGTGCACACTTGTTGTCCCAGCTACTCAGGAGGCTAAGGCAGGAGGATCACTGGAGTCCAGGAGTTTGAGGTTGCTGTGAGCTAGGCTGATGCCACAGCACTGTAGCCCAGACAACAGACCAAGACTCTGTCTCAAAAAAGAAATTTACATTTAGATTTATGATCCATTTTGAGTTAATTTTATAAAATGTGTAATATCTATGTCTAGGTTCATTTTTTTATTAAAAATGTATCCTTTCTCCATTGAATTGCCTTTGCTCCTTTATCAAAGATTAATTGGCTACATTTGTGTGGATCAATTTCTGGGCTCTCTATTCTGTTCCTTTGCTCTATGAATCTGTTCTTTCAGCAATATCATATTGTCTTCTTGATTATGTGGCTTTATACTTGAAATTGGGTAATGTGAGTCCTCTAACTTTATTATTATTCTTCAATACTGTGTTGGCTAATCTATGTCTTTTCCTTTTCATATAAACTTTAGAATCAATTTGTCTATATCTACAAAAAAAGCTTGCTGGGATTTTGATTAGGATTTCATTGAATCTATAGATCAAGTTGAGAAGAATTGACATTTTAACAATATTGAATTTTCCAAATTAATGAATATGGATTATCTCTTTATTTATTTAGATTTTCTTTGATTTATTTCATCAGAGTTTTATAGTTTTCCCCATATAAAGCTTAATATGTTTTGATAGACTTATATCTAAGTATTTTACTTTTTTTATGCTTCATTTTGGTAAATGGTATCATTTTAAAATTTCCATTCCAATTGTTTACTGATGGTATAAAGGAAGGCAATTGTCTTTTGTAAATTAACTTCATATCCTGAGAATTTGTTATATTCACTTACTAATTCTGGGAAGTTTGTTTGATTGATTCTTTGGGATTTTACACATAAACAGTCATGTCTTCTGTGAACAAAGACAGTTTTATTTCCTCCTTCCCAATCTATATATCTTTTATTTCCTTTTCTTGTCTTATTGTACCTGTTAGGATTTCCAATATGATGTTAAATAGAAGTGGTGAGAAAGAACATCCTTGCCTTGTTCCCTATCTTGGATAAGTATTCAGTTTCTCACCATTAAGTATGATGCTAATTGTAGGGTTTTTCTAAATCTTCTGAAAATTTTATTCAGCTTTATTATTTATTTCCATGTGGTTACTACACTTTCAAACTTATAATTGTGCTATAATATATTTTAAATAGCTGAAAGAGCTACTCCGCTTTACATTACCCTTTGTTCAGAATTTTTTATTTGTCCTGCTTAAGTTTAGTTTTCAGTTGAACATTAGTATTTTGTCAAGTTAAAAAGTTTTGAGTCTATAATAATCAATTTAGAGAGATTGACATCTTTATAATATCAAGACTCCCTATCCAAGGCAATATGTATTTATTTTTTAGAGCAGTTTTAGGTTCACAGCAAAATTGAGATTTCCCATATACCCCTTGTCCCCAAACATGCATAGCTTCCCACATTATCAATATCCCCCACGAGAGTGATACATTTGTTACAATTGATGAACTTAAACTGTAGGATTTTTGTAGATGTTCTTTATCAAATTGAAGAAGTTTTCCCTCTATTCCTAGTTTGCTGACACTTTTTATCATGAATGGGTACTGGATTCTGTTAAATGCTTTTTCTACATCAATGATATAACATGATTTCTTCTTCTTTAGCTTGTTCACATGGTTACAATGAATGATTTTTTAGTATCGAACCAGCTTTGTGTACCTGGAATAAATCCTACTTGGTGATGGCTTATAATTCTT